TTTCCCATTTTATACCAAGCTTATAAATAGCGGAGTGTCTCTTTATTCTCGTCTTTTCACTTCATTACATCAGCGGGAGTTATTATTATCTCGAGCTCGCTAATTACGTGGTACATGTCACTATAACTTGATGTTATATTTTTTGAATTGAAACTTTTTTTTAATGCGTCGGTAACTAAGTTGACTAAAGAGTAGCATGTGGAGTGACCCGAACCCAAAGCGGGTTTCTGATTGGCTCCCTTAGGGCGTGTGAAGTCAACTGACGTCACATAGGTGACGTATTTATTGGTGATTGGTCTGTTTTCATAGCAAATTGTAAAGTTTTCTCAAACCAACCTGGTCGTGGACGGGTGAGAACGTGTTACTACAACTACACTTGAAGGATGTGTAAAGGTAAGCATTCAGTTTCTCCTTAATAATTACTACTTAAGTTATCTTCCCCTCACTGTAACGGTTGGAAAGAGCTGGTCGGTAAACGAGTGCGCTTTTGGTTCGCTTCATGTTTCGCCTTCGACTTCGTGCCATTCAAATCGTTCATCTTAACGCTGAAGTACTTGTTTAGTTTAAAGAAATACTGTGCATACCTTTGGAGGAAATTGCTCTTGATGAGCAACATTTCGAAAAGGTAATAGCACATAAGATTCACATAGAACGCAGCCAGGTGCGTTTGAGGTTTGTGTTCATGGCTACTTTTAACCTGCAAAGAAATTGTGGCAGTAACATTTCAAAATCGGCTTCTACAATAAACTTCGTGTGTCACCGAAAACAACGTTCTTACCTCTAGAATTCTGTTTTACTTGAAGTTCGCTACGCGTCACCCCTTCCACACTTATTTGTCATTATTCGTTACTTGAAAGGTTTGAAATTAACCAACCGACTCAAAATTGTTTTGTTTATTTTTATTGCAGGAAGAGCGAGGTGAAGAAGACGACTGTGGAACTGAAAGCACAAGAGGAAAAATGTAGTCAATGAATATAGAAGAAACCCTACAAAGATAAGACCTCTGATACCGTTGTACTGTCTTAGTTTAAATGGTGGCTGCCAGAATTTCTTAATTTGCTTTTGTTTGATCGTATATTAAACCTGAGTCATGGAGTATCAGGAGAGACTCTTAAAGAAACGGAAAGAAGCCGAGGAGGACTAAGGTGAGACTCAACTCTAGGCGATGGCAGCAGCCACCAGTAGAAGTGTATTTTTTTAAGGTGGCACTGAAAAGCAATATTTTAAGAAAACTGAAGTTTTAAACGAGCATAGATCAGCTCGTTAAATTAACAAGGCAAACAAAATTATTCAAATCTTCCTCAAAAGTATACTTCATTATTGTTGTCAAAGCGACATTCAGCTATGAAACAACATTCCATCTATTGTTTTGCTTTTCGACACTTTTTTAAAAATTTGGAAAACATGCTTAGACTTCGACAAGTGCAATTTATTCATCGATCAGTGTCACCCTACAAAATTTCACGTATTTCCTGCGTTAATATTTTTACAATGGGTAAGAGAACACTGGCAATCAAACATACATTGGAGAAAAATTTGTTCTATAAGTTGTTTAACTGGCTTAGAAATAAAACATCTATTTCCTTACTGCTCGCTGCGAACCGAAAAAGGACCACTTTGGTTACGATACATTTACTGAAAGAACGCTGACACAATCAGCCATTCAAAAGTTGGAGAGGATGAAAATTTTTCTCTTTTTATGTGTACAAAAGCAACGTATGACAACAGATTGCGAAAAAAGACATTTTTACAACCAGACATCTGGCACAAAGTTACGACTCTTGCGACTTGTCGAGACGAGTGCAAGTAGCATCAAAATTTAAGGAAAAAAGATATCAAAAATGTGGCCTGACTTTTACAATATAAAGCTACCACGTTAACTGAATGCGACGCAACAAACGCAGATGTTCTAAAATTACTGGGCGGATGTTCTTTTAACCCGACTGACGAGTACAGTGACAACGTACTGAGACCTTTGCCCCCACGACATCTTTACGAGGTCGGACATACCTGGACAACGTTGAAAACAAGCCCGGATAAATCTTTTAACAAATAACAAGTTATTTATAGTATCAGATGCATCCTAAATCAGCGAATCTAGGTGCAACGAGAAAAGACAACTCAACATTTGAGCTACGGCTCTCGATGGTTTTGGAGACTGACCGTTAACACACAAAGATCGACTGGTGCTAACAACGTAGAAATGAAATTATTGACAATCAAATCGACAACGAAACGAACAGAACGACTGAAACTGACCAATCACAGCTCAGAAATGACGAGTCAGACCTATAGTACAACTCTACGTTGTTTCGTCGGGCTATAACAATTGGTTGTAAAATTTGTAAAAAAAAACTTTTATCCCAGTGAAAAAATCCAATTGCCTACGTTCTCTTATCGTATATAACTAGTGTTTGGTTCAGAGGATTCTTAAAAATTTTGTAACCACAAAATCGATCGTGTATACGAAAAACAATTCCTTGTGAAATCACAGGTTTCCTATAGCTAAAAATTGTCTATTTATAATGTGTAAACAAACAAAACTGCGTCACAAATTAAACAATTTTGTAGTGGATCAGGAAAACTTTAGACTTTAAGGTTTGATTTCTAAACTCTCAATGTACTCACTTACTAAAACAGTTACGGCAACAAAATTGTCTGTCAAACGCAAGGTAAAAGAAATTGCAAGGCCACTTTCATTTATGTTTGTCTTTTAGAAGTTTCTGATGAACAAAAGTTTATTCAATTATTCAGTTTGGGTGATTCTGTAGTTAACAGCGGACTTGAAACTTATGGGCTTTTAGTAAATTGGACATTTCCTTTTCTCATGTGTGACGAATGAAATAGTTTGATTAGAGTTTCAGACGTCTTAATGTGGTCTGTATAACAAGTGACGAAGTGTTTTCGTTTAAAGTAACACTACCCGGAAGATCTTCATTTGATAATCCTCTACTATGAACCAGCCGTTGGGTTTTATCTTATCACTTGTAACGTACAAATACCTTTTTCAGCCTACAATTTTGTAACAAAGGAGAAGAGGAAAGTTTGGAGATTAAAATCTGATTCAACTAAAATTTTTAAAGATATCTGGAGCCCAGCGATGATCTGGTTGTCTGATATATTTTTATCAAAGAGGAAACACTGCTAACTTGGCCCAAAGGATAAAAAAATACTTTACGATCATTTTGGTTAACAAAAGTGTATATGGTTCGAAATATTGGCGAGTTAACATCAAATTCGTCCTGTGCAACAATGAATTAGATGGCTGAAAAAGGTCTTTTTAGTAGCAACATGGCAAGCTTAGGCATATTTTAATCGTTCTAAGAAAATTAGAAATCCTGAAGAAACCAATTTGCGAGATACAATGAATTGAGTTTGCCATATTGCTTATCGTTCGAGTAGAAAAGTGTATGCATCACCTTGTGCAAAAGATTTTAAACACTAAAATACTTCGAAGACAAATTAGATCTAAGGGCTATTTCACAATTTTTGTAAGAAATTGTTTTGCACAAGGTGATATTCACATATGTTTTGGCGGAGTATTTAAGGGAACCCATTTTGAATTTTTTGTGGAAGATGTTATCAGGGGAAACTCATTATATATCTGAACGAATTTTTCTCGACACCTTTTTGATTATTTAATGAAAAATTACTTAACTAATTAAAGAATTGAAAGACAAAACGCTTATTACTATTGATTGTATGAAATAATTGAAGAAAGAAAATAAAGATCAAACACGAGACAGTGAACATTGTTGACTTTTATTTCATAACGATAATACAGAATTATTACAGCAATAACAGATAAGGTCTTAAACATACTTTTGATAAAAAAAAAAAAAAACGGCGCATGCGTATTTTGGGCGCCTGTATTTTTTCTAAGTTTTTTGGCGGGAAAATTACGCCATTTTAACCTGATGTTGCTCACAAAGTTTCAAAAACTTGGAATATGCGTGTTCTAAGTACCCGTATTTTTTTTTTCAAATTACTGACAGCAAATCTACGCAACTTTGTTAACATCTATTTGTTCCGAGCAAGAGAAAAGCTTTCTGGAAATCAGAAGACACGATCTTTGCTTGAAATTTGACTTCAGTGGGGATTGTAGTAAAAATTTAATTTCTACCTCTGCTTTAAGCTTGTCTTTTGACTTGAAAGAACATCACACTGAAGTATCTGCGCAGTTGATTCTGATATCTGTTATCAAGCAATCTGCAAGAGCAGAAAAAACAAACAAATCAATATATGTCTCAAACAGAACAAGGTTTACATTTCAATCACATAGCACAGGTTTCCGTCGTGTGTAGGCTATTATTTTAGCACACTGATAAAGTCAACTGGCAAAATTTATCATTACTCGATTTTCCTCGCACTTTGTGACAAACATCAAGTAAACTTTACAGTGTAGTACTCGTACTAACGACGATCTACTTCCTCCAATTAAAACGTTGGCAGTTTTAAAAGATAAAATCAATATATATATACTATACATGCAGATTGCTACAATAATTATTCTACTTTTACAAGGTGGTGGAAATTTCTTTGCATGACAACAAATGCACGAGCCGAAAAGGAATGTTGAAACAACAGTGTAGTAATAATAATAGCTGGCGTTGTTTGTTCCATGTTTACCTTTTCTTTCTCCTATTTTTTCACGCCATGAAATGAAAATCAAAGGCGGCCTCTTTTTGTTGCTTTAACTCACGCTGCCTCAATTCCTCTTAAATTAACCAATTAACTAACTCTTACCATTAACTAAGAAAAACTCTTCCAGAACTGCAATGTTTTATGTCAAGGTAGCCTTAAAATGTTGTTAAATGAACCCTCACATTCATAAAAAGCTGAACATCCACGTGTAAAAGTTAACAGGAAATGGAAATTTGATGTCACTGTGTTTTCGAAGCATTATGGAATTCTGATGGTGCATTTTTAGTGTCCAACCCTCTCTTTTTGTTCAGTTTAAAATACAGAACAGATAGATAAATAAATCTCTTCAAAATGAGCGAAGTGATCGCCGGTATATTGCAATGAAATGGCATTGAAACCAGTCTAGACGTTTAATTCTGAATATTGAATATGGGCACCCGTGAAAAATCGTCGGTAGAATGGTTTTAATACAACCGATTGACTTCCAACTATTTTCCTTTTGTACTAAAACACACTTACATCACGCCACGAAAAAAGTTCACCGTTTATTCAAGTCAATGGTGCCCCGTGGCCGATTTACCTCAAACAATTGCGACATGGTTGAACTTGGTGATATCTCTTCTAGACAAACTTGAGAAATAATTTTTTTTTTCCGAGGCGTGTGTGGAAACTTTAACACAGAAGGCTGAAGTAAGAAAAAATGTTGATATGTATGGAACAGAAAATAATTTTCTGACATTCCTGGGACAACGTGGAACACTGTCATCTAATGTTGAATTCTGGTGGGCTTGACATAAATTTTGTTTCACTGCGTTGAAAAATTCTCGAAAGGGAGTTTCATTAAAAAAGTCAATAGAAAAAAAAATGGAAAAAGGCGACGCCCTCTTGGATCGAGGTTACTATAAGACAGAATTCAATAGAAACGGTGACCAATTCAAGTATATAAAAAAGTCTAACTGCCACTGCGATCACTGTTTCAAAGGTTTTCGTGCTGTTCAAAGGTTTCGTAAGCTGTTGGATGATGATATACGAAAACTGTCTTTCGTTTTGGATGGACTTTTAAAATAATTGGATCGAGCATCAAAAGAAATATTGTAATTTGAACTAGGTCATTCTATCGCTGGAAAACTGAAAGTGGTGGAATCCACCGAAAAAAAAAATTTGCCATGAACTGATGATCAAAACTTCCTACACCGAATCTCGACTGTATTCTTGTCTTTTTCGTGATAAAGGATATTTCTGTACTTATGTTCTTTCTTTTAACTACGAGTCAGGTAAAAACACCCGTAACTACTGTGTAACGAAATATTTCTTAACTCTCGTTTTCGGACACAGCAATCAGCATGTACGTACCATACACCAATGGGGCGAAAATATCTTAAATTAGGATTAAAATAATCATATCAAATAATGAAAACAACTCACCTTGTTCAAGATAAGTTCACTTCACCCTCTTGGAATTCTTCTGTAATCTTTTCTGATTTCTTTGTTCATCCTGTGTCATAATTTACCTGTTGTAAGATAAATTGCAGGTGAATACGCTAGATTATACGAGGGCCAATTTAGATTCCTACGATAGATCTTGAACTTGATACTCTTGTGGTTCTTATCAAAGTTTTTTCTTAGCGGAACTTATGCGATCAGGACAAGTAAAGGCCGAATTTCAAGACCATCTTGACCCCTACGATTGACTAGCACCTAATTTCTCCTTACAATATCAACCATGAATCACACATTAAGGTTACAAAAGATCAATAAAGGAAATGATCATCAAATTAAAGAAGCTCTTGATTGTTAAACAAATTCTCCATGTCAGCACCTTACGAAATGTCTACAGAATAGTATGGAGAATCTGCATACTGATATCAGGGTGTAAAGTGTAGTTAGGAAAATCTTACCACCAGAACTCGGTTTTTAGAAAATAGGTTAGTGAACTGGTTTGAGGGCTACATTACACAGAGTATCTACAAAGGTATCAATCATGAAGATGTCGTTTCAGACGTCTGAATAACTTAAAACATGGCGAGTACCTTCGTGCACAAAATCAATGAATCTAACATCTTATCTAACGCTATGAAAACTACGCAGAAGAGACAATTGATGTATGGGATCAGCTTACTATGTCTTCTTTGAGGTTAACTACATAAAATATTGACGTATATGCTAGTTACCACGGCTTACCTCTCCAAAAGAAGTTTTAACAAAATAACCACTTAGCATCCAATGCTTCCATTTTCCCTTTCACGTGTTCTTCCAAGGCTTTAACTTCGCCCAACTTCTGAAGCACACATACACGGTTGGAAAAAAGGCGAATTTCGGCGTAAGAGTGCTTTAGGTGGTTGCTTTTTTCGCCACGGAGAAACTTTAAAATTTAACACCAGCCGCCATTTTCTTCCCCGTGAGAAGATACACGTGATAGGTGAGGCAAACGATTAAATATGCATGTAGAAGATGGATCTACGAGATATGAATATTGAAATATTACGATTACCAAAGTCCAGAATCTTTGAGTGCCTTTTGATATATCTTTTCCAGGTCATACCAATAAAAATAGAAAATAATCCGCAAATGTAAGATAATAAGTCGAAGGAAAGAACATAAAACATGGATCTCATTGAGAAAATTGACATATTTAAGATCTTCGTCTCTCTGTGTGGGATACGTCAAGACAAAAAAGTTTAAGATTATAAATATATGGGAGGAGGGACGAGCAGAAACGAACAACATCGCGGCTGGATAAATATGACTTGCCCGCATCGTGTGGGCCTAACACATTGTCTAATACGAAAAGGATGGATTGAATCTCTCATTCAACTAAAGAAAAGTCTTTTCTGGCCCCTAATGTCCTAATT